ACCACCAAGATCTGGACCGGAACCCGCTTCACCTAGTCTCATGCTAAAGCAACTCCTAGTTTCTTTAGCATGAGAGAGTTGCTTTAGCATGAGACTACCGTCTTCCCCCGAACATAACGCACCCTAAAAATGAATGTATACAAGCTATATTTCCGGCCAGACCAGATACAGCCAAAATAAGGGTGCGTTGTGTTGGGGGGAAGACGGTAGCATGTAACATTCGTCTAAATGGGAACGATCCAGAGAAGATTAGCATGGGCACTGCGGAAAAAAAAAGGAAGAAAAAAAAGAAAAAGAGGGCTCCGCAGATAAGAAGTGTCCCACTTGTGCCTGTTGGCCCGGCCTTACGTGGTGGTGCAACGTAGAGAAGATGGAAGAGACTGAACCTAGTTTGTCAACCTTGCATGCAAGTAGTGATTCTATCCTTGTGCCCTTTCTATCGGAGCATACCCTTCCAAGGCTGGTTTGTGATTTTCCTTTGTTCCTTCTTTTCTTTGACGGTGTTGCTTCTCTGCAATCCGTGCTGCTGTCTTCACCCGAATAGAAGGCCCTGTCATTTTAGCTGTATCAGTCTGGGTACAGCTAGAATGACCGGGCGTTCTATTCGGGTTGTTTTGCTTCTCTGCGATCCGTGCTACCGTCCTCACCCGAATAGAACGCCTGGTCGTAATAGCTGTATCAGTCTGGATACAGCTAGAATGACCGGGCGTTGTATTCGGGTGAAGACGGGAGTTTACATGGCCCTGAGCTCAACTGTACACACCATTCCTGTTTGAGACAAGGAGTATCGAATGACGCCCTTGCTCTCAAAGCATAGTTTTCCGATTTCCCTTTGTTTTTTTCTTTCTCTTCGCTCAAATTGTTTGTTCGATATTCATGTCGGTGTACCTGGCACTAAACCCAACGGCGCGCAGCGTGCTGTGCGAGACTGCAAGTATGGCCATAGCCACGCGTTTGTGGTCTGGTTAATAGTATGGGCTTTGCCCATGCTTATCTGAACTTCTGCAGTGAGCAGGCCTTGGGTTGCACTATGTGGACGTCAACGCAATCAGCTGACCATCGGGTTGTGTGAACTACTTCACGGGCTCACTCACACCTGATGAAGTCCGACGAAACAGCCTGGTACAGTCATGCTTTTTTTGTGGATTTGTGTATAGCGAAGATGACAACACACACACAGACACACACAGACACACACAGACACACACACACACACACGCAGAGAGAGAGAGAGAGAGAGAGAGAGAGAGAGAGAGAGAGAGAGAGAGAGAGAGAGAGAGAGAGAGAGAGAGAGAGAGAGAGAGAGAGAGAGAGAGAGAGAGAGAGAGAGAGAGAGAGAGAGAGAGAGAGTTGACCATTTCGCTTTTTGTGTTTTGCCCCCCTTGTTTTGTGTCCACACACCCGAGTGAGAGATTTAACCATGTTCTCGTTGTCATATCTGTTTTGTGCACTTCTTTTCCTGTTTGGCCCCTTGATGTATTGGCATTTTCGTGATCAGTGTCATGCTGGAGAGGGTGCCTCCTCCTGCTCCTCCTCCTCCTCGTTCTTCCCTTGCACCTCGAGGAACGGATAAGCACAGAGATACAGAGTGGGTTGCACCATGATAGCATTTCGATTAGAATACCCCAACACTCGTGAATAGGAGGCATGACTACAGGATAGCAGTGCAGCAGACCCAGTTCACACGAACCTAAGTAGTGCACTTACTGTTATAAGCGGTAAGAGCACTTGGCTTTGGGCCTGGGCCGGTAGAGAAAGCAGCAGGCCACTTTGAAAAGGCGCAGTCGCAGGCTCGCGATCCTTGGAAGGAAGTTTCGTCAACTTAGGCTCGTGTGAACTGGTTAGGTTCAAACCAGTTTCGTCAACTTTGGCTCGTGTGAACTGGTTAGGTTCAAACCAGCACTACGTTTCCCAACCATTTTTCTCTGACGGGGGGTGCATTCAAGCCACAACTTTCGGGGGTCGGCTGCCGGAGCAAAATGGCTGGCGGCTCCAGCCAAAAGGAGGCCCGTGCTGGTTAGTTTCTTTTTTTTGGCGTGCAGGGCGCTTTGAGCCCCTGGAAAAAATGGCTCCGAGGTTGCTTTCTTGTTTTGGTGCGCAGGGTGCAGGGCGCTTTGAGCCAGAAGGAAGTACTGGTTGTTTAAGGGATCCAAATTCTTGCGAGATGGACTTTATGGGCTCCCTCGAACAGATGCCATGATTAGAACAGCTGGACCCGCAGGCCCACATGTTTGAGTTCCTCATAGTAGTTCGGGCTGGTTTAGGGTTTAGGGCAGGCAGAACATAACGGAGCTCGCAATGGGACCGGAAGGAGTAGGAATGCTATCCGGACACCTACTTTTCCATTTAGGGTGTGGGAAAGTAATCCGGACCGGTACAACAGAACACAGTGCTGGTATGGCATGTAGGTGGGGCCAATCGGGGCAGGCAAAGCACAGTGAGGCCCCGCTTATGCGGGGCCAGTCGAGCACAGGGCAGCCTCAGGATGGGACTCCGAAGGAAAGAATTCCCAAGTGGGACCGCTGCAAGGCCCTCTTTTGCATTTAGGGCATGTGGACATACTGGGTGTTCAGGTCTGAATGTACCGGTTTTGATGCCCTGTCTGCATTAATAAGCAGTATCTATTTTCGGTGAGGCACGAAGGGCTGCGGATGGCCCTAAGCTGGCTGGGCGTGGGCTGACCTGAGCCAGCGTGACGAAAAGAAGGTTGGGCAAGACCAGGCTGAAATGGAGTAAAGGCCTGAGTCCCCTGACTAACCGGTATGGGCACAGGCCAATCAGGATTCTTCTGGAACTCGATCCCTGTCGGCCAGAGTGTAGCTGTTTGGACCCCAACCTGCAGTATATGCTGGAGGCCCATGGCAGCAAGGCCACATTCTGGCTGGCTGCCAGCAGGCTGGAGGACTGTGTTAGGAAGTAGCGCCACATGGGCCAGTGTATATCAACAGATCATGGGTGTATGGACTGAGCTAGGTGGGGGGGGAGAGAGAGAGAGAGAGAGAGAGAGAGAGAGAGAGAGAGAGAGAGAGAGAGAGAGAGAGAGAGAGAGAGAGAGAGAGAGAGAGAGNGAGAGAGAGAGAGAGAGAGAGAGAGAGAGAGAGAGAGAGAGAGAGAGAGAGAGAGAGAGAGAGAGAGAGAGAGAGAGAGAGAGAGAAGTTGGATGGGGGGGAGAGGAGACTTAACTGGTCGGTCTTTGACATGAGAGTTCCAGCGATGCACATTCTGTTGCTTGACATCGATGGGAGCAGCACTCTGCTGTGGAATGTTTGATGATGTGGGACGATGGGTAGTGTAGGCTAGGAGATTTTAGGTGATCATGTAGGGCAGCGGTAGGAAAGAGACACCAGCATTGCTGTTGGGCACCAGTATTATTGTTGTTGGTTCGTGGTGGCGTGATAGGAGTTGCTTCCTCATGAACAGACTTCAATATTGTCAAATATTTTGTGCGTTTGATCGCCGCTCAGTCTTTTCTGTGCATTTTCATTCTCAGTGCAGTAATTCATGCAGAAATTCATGGTGTAATTCGAGAAAAAAAAAATCAACAAGAAGAATACATAAAAAAAAAATCTGTGCAGTAAAGCGAAAGCTGGAAGAAGAAATAAAAGAGAACTGCGAAAAAGCCCCAAAAGGAACAAAGAAAAGAATGGAACTGCACAGAAAAGGCAACGGTTTCTGCGTGTGTGTGCTGCCTGCTGTTTTATTCATTTGTTTCACAAATTACTCGATAGATGTATGACAATATATGTTATGAAAAGTCTGAAAGTCCGGTAGCAACAGGCCTAGCTCAGTTGATTCACCCATGAACTGTTGATATACAAACCTGAGTTCAAATCCCAATGAAATGAGATGACTAAAATCATAAAATGACTCTGAATTTACCTGGGGCTGGTCAGCTTGAAGATGATATCTCAAGGCCATCGCTCTTTCAAAAAAGAGAGAAGAAAGCGGAAAAAAAAAAAAAAAAAAAAAAAAAAAGTGCGGCTTGAAGGCTTCACAATGCAAACGACATTTGGCTGAGGGTCATGCTGAAATTCATAGCTGAAGTCGACAACAAAAAGGTCACAAGAAAAGAAATCTGTCACAGCCCCTGGTTTCTTGACGTTTGCCCCTTGGCCTACAGTTCATCAGGCGGTTCTCTGTGGCTATAGCCATATTTGTGGTGTTTCCATCGTTGGGGACATACTGACTCCTGAGCCGGCACGTATCCTTCTCTTCGGTGTCATCTCTATTCCAAACCCCTCGTTCCCTTTGTATTCCTTCGCCCTATCTTTTCCCTCTCTGTCTCTCTGTACACTGTCTCCTTTACTCGCCTCTTTATAAGGGGGTGTAGGCAGCATGTACACCAATGCGGCGAGCCTTGCACCTGAGAGGCACGGTAAGGGAGACCTGAAAGAAGAAATGAAAAAGAAACAATGGCAAATTTTCAGAAGAAAGAAGAGAAATCCTATGTGTGTTGCATTGACGAAGAGCGAAACAAGAACTGCACAGAAACAGGCAAAACGAACTGTTTGAGTGCGCCTCAATCTAATGTCTGCTCTTTCCTTCATTTGTTTTGCTATGTGTGCTCTTTAGTTGATAGATATGTGACAATATATTTAGTGTGTGGTAGCCCTTTGTCTAGATCAGCTATGGACTTCTGGATCGCACCCAGCTCCAGTACGGGTCCATTTGGGATAGCGTCGGGGTTACACACCCAGTATAACCATTTTTGGGTGTCTTTGATTTCATTCGTCGAGTTCCATCTGGACTCTAACACAGGTTGGCATGTCAACAGTTCAAGGCTGTACCCACTGAGCCAAACTAGTTGGTCGGTGTACCATTTCTCAAATTGTACTACCTTCTTCCCCGAAGACAACGTACATTGCGTTGTACAGTCATTAAAGCTGTATTTAGAATTTTAGACTGAAAGATACCCCAAAGACAGCTATAACGACTGTACATGGTATTCGGGTGGAAGAAGGGGGGTACTTGAAGGTGCACTGTAAGTTGACATGGAAGATCATAAGACTCAATCCACTCACTTCTCAGCAGCACAATCGAACATTAGCAAACACAGTGGCATGTAATGCAGCAGCAAGTTTAAGTCTGTGGCATGGGAACAATTTGTGTTTCCTTCTCAGGGTTTGTCTGGTTATCATTTCTGTGTGACTGATGTTCACCCGCGACTACTGTGTCTTTTCTTTGATCATGTCTCGGCTTGTTGAGCAGCTTCTTGGGAGGAGCAGTGGATTTGAGGTGGGCCCTACTCACCGCCCTTGCACAAAGGGACTTTGGATGTGGAGTGCGCCAATCAAAGTGACATCACCGACTGGTGAACCCTATCATATGATACTACTTGATACGGAAGGAATTGATGCCACAGACCAGACAGTGAGTTGTGGAACACTGATGGCGTTTAACCCATTATGGAAGAGAGAGTAGATCAGGAAGCTAGGAAGATTCTCACGTCCGGCTGGTCCTGCCCTGTCTCTTATACACATCTAGATGTGTATAAGAGACAGGTTCAAGACTACAAGCAAGGCCCTCAAAAAAAAAAAAAAAAAAAAAAAAAAAAAAAGAAAAGTTTTTTTTTTTTTTTTTTTTTTTTTTTTTGGGTTTTCTGTGCTGTCCCAGAGGACCTCAAATCCAGGCTCATTTAGTTTTTTGCAAGTTGGCTGTCAGGGGGGGGGGGGGTGGAGAGGGGTATAAATTGGTTTGAAAGGGGTTTAAACTTTAAAAGGGGGTGCCTTAGTGTGATTCTGTTATCCTCTTTTTTATCTCCGATTCTGTGAGGAATTTTAATGTGACCCTCAGCCAAAAGTCGTTTGTATTGCAATTCTACACAACATATTTTTTTTTCCCGGAACTCTCTTTTTTTTTGGGGGGGGGCACTGTGGCTGCCCGGAACCCTGCCGGGGGGTCATGCCCGACTGGGCACCCGGGCGTGTACCCGGGCATAAGTTGGGTGTCCGGGCGCCTGGAAAAATAGCCTAGTCAGGAGGGGCATTCTTTCACGCCTGGATTTTTCTAGACGAGTCTGAACTGATTATGACCAGGATCTCGTAAAAAGTTCCAGTGTGAGCCTACTCAAATGGGACTCCTGATGTACATTGAAAACACTATTTTCATGGCTCGATGTGATTGTGTTCTCTCCATCCCCTTTGCTAACGATCTCATCTGGGTCAGGTTGTGTCATACCAGCATCATGCAGGATTAGCAATTCATGAGGGTTTCCAAAAGCTGTTTTATTCCTTCGCTTGCAAAGAGTCGTTTCCAATGTCTACCATATGCACACACACTGTTACGGACTCCGCCAGGGCTCGATCCCTGGTCTATCTTTTTGCTGTTTCAGCTGCATCCCGTTTTCGGCCTGGCACCCTTTTTCCAAACTCCTTTGGTACCGTAGGATTTTGGACAACTGGCGCCATGCTGCAATTCGGGCGCCACTTTCAAATACTGCATTTTTCAGTTCTGCCCTCGCGGCCTTTGCAGAAATGCCCCTGGTACCGTACGTGTCACYGGTACTTATACYGGCTCCCCGTACGGTACGGGGACCGGTCTGGTACCCGTTCTCTGCTGCTGTACTCGTACTCAGTGTGACTTGCCGTTTCGGCATTCGGAATCCAAGACTTCGACTTTGTGCCTTGCCACTGTGTCTGCGTCCGACCCTCAGTCCGAGTCCGTCGTGTCGAGTGAGTGCGTGTGTGTGTGTGCTCTCACTCTCTCCCTCTCTCTCTCCTCTCCCTCGCTCACCCTCAGCCTCACACTCGTTACACTGGTATCGGAGCGGTTCGAACCCGCCCGACCCACCCTGCTTCGACGTCGTCACCTGGCCATCATCAACATCATCGTCGAAATCGTCGTTGCCGTGCCACGTCATCATCGTCATCATCGCGATCGTCGTCATTGTGCCTCGTCATCATCATCACCGACGGGATCGCCGCCGTCGTGCCACGTCATCATCACCAATACCCTCTGAACCTCCGTCACCGCCTCTCTCGACGACATAAAGGCCAACATGTCGTCCATATGCGACCGCGTCACCACGATCGAAGGGACCATCCCCTCCATCACGGTCGTCACCACCGCGCAAACCACTCCCTCCTCCACAGCGCAAACCACTCCCTCCTCCACAGCGCAAACCGCTCCCTCCTTCACAGCCGCCTCCAGCAACACCCCCCCGCCGACCTCCTCCACTCCTACCACCTCTACCACCTCTACCACCACATCCACCAACCCTTCAACCTCCACCATCGTCCCGTTCCCTCCACCTCCTCCCTCATCCGGCACATCCAGCACACCGCCTCATTCCTCGCCCATCCACGTCA